GATCAAGGAGCTGGAGGAGGAGCTGGATTCCCTCAAGTCCCCGGCCCAAGAAGCAACGGCTCTGCCAAGAGCCACACTGGCAGCCTGGCGCAGAAAGCAGTGAACATCAGTACGATCGAAAGTCACTTTGGCGTGAGAGATACCAAGGCGGCCAAGGCCTCTCGAAGTCGAGGCTTTAGCTTCGGAAGAACAAAGCCGGTGTAAGTTCCACCAACCGCGCTCCTTGTTCCGCTTTGCTCGCTTTGCGTGCTCTCACCCCTGACTCTTTGTCGTGGGTGTAGGTTCTAGAGAAAGAGGCCTCCCCAAGCGGTTGAGGCCTCCGCCGCAACATAAGTGGCGCTTAGACGTTGAGGAGGTCCAGGGAGCACGAGCTCAAGGCTTGCCGCCTATCACCGCCACGTGGCTCGAGGTCGAGGGTCCAATCAGCCGGCCCCTTGGGAGCCGCCTGACAGTGCGGATGAGCGGCGCGGCCCACGAGAGGCTCCGGCGAAGCACACGGGTGTCAAGCTGCCAGCTCGTCGTCCGCCTCTCGCACCACGCCAAATCAACCTAGAGGCTGTCATGATGGCTGTGTCTTGCCGAAGATGACGAGAGGAGGCGGGACGAGAGGTCGTGAAGCTAATGGAGGCGGTGGGCGCCTCGGCACAACATGACGCTGGCCAGCTTGTTTGAAGAAGAGGTGGTCCTCCTGCACTTTGTACCGCCGATCCTCGAGCTTTGACTGGGCCAACAGGGGGGCCATGTAAACGATTGGTTTAATTGTCACATCGTGATCGCTTTTTGGCCATCGAGGCCTTTTAAAAATGCCTGCATGATATGTGTGTGTTTAACCGCTTTCTTATTCCATTTCCAGCCTACGGCCTGCCTCGTTCTTGGATACACTTAAAGAACTTCCTCGAGCCTGCCGTCCCTTGGCTGAAGGGTGGCGAGGAGCGCCGAGCCCGGGCGCGCAGGCTGCTCTCCTGGCTCGACGGCCCTTTGGCCTCGTGGACACGCTTTTGGTCCTTAGGTTTTCTTAGTAGCGGTCCTCTCTTGGCGAGCGAGAGTTTGGGCGAGAAATTTTCGGGAAGATGGTTAAGAACGGTGTCCGGACTTAGGGATTCCCTTTTTAGCCCCTCGAGGAGGCTCCGGCTACTGCAGGCGTGAGCCGAGTCTCTCTTAGGCGTTATGTGACGTCGAGCCCCTATCGAGTGGACAAGCTCTTTGAAAGAACTTCCCTGAGCCTAAAAAAAAAATGTCTCTCTTGGGCTGAAAAGGTGGCGTAGGAGCTGCCGTAGCCTGGTAGTATGAGGGCCGTTCTCACGGCTCACCACCTGGTCTTTTTGCCTTTGAGACGAACTTTTGGTCCTTAGGTTCTATACAATCGAGTTGCCATTAAGGGGTCCTCAAAGATTGTAACAACTAAAGAACGCTTCTTTATTGTATTCCGAGAAACAATGTAAACAACGCTTGGAAACTTAAGGGTAGAAACGACGTAGCTGTTCTATGTTCCGCGCTAGTGAAGATATCGCCTTCCGCTGGCTGACTTGTAGGTTCTGGGTTTCAGCACTTGGGCGATGATGATGTACGGCCTTCCTCATGGCAGTGGTCACCAGGAGTTCTGGCGGCCCTTCTTTGCTCACCTTCGGCAAAGACCAAAGTTGCCCACCTTCAGTCTCGGCTTCAATGTGCCGGGCTTGGTAGCGCCGTAGGGCTTGCTGGTATTTGGCCGAGTGTAGCAGTGGCAACGCCTCGTGGTCTCCATGATCATGAAGCGGCCGTGTCGCCTCAGGGTCGCAAAGCCAGAAGTTCCGCTCCAACCCACGCCTCGTCCTCCTCCGAGGAGTCGAGTGGGGTGGATTGGAGTTGTGACTATGGGGTTATGGGCATGACGCGTTGATGAATGGAGACAAGGGCGGTGGCATAGGAGGCGGGCGACATTGGTCAGCCTCGAAAGGTACGGGATGGCGCCGTCGCCCGGGCTCAGCTCCGCCAGAGCAGCTCCTCCTGAGGAGGCGGATGGGAGCTTGATGATGGGTCATTTGTCATCCATGGCCCTTTTCCTGCCGAGGCTTAAGCCGGACAGGTCCCCGTCTGCAGACTCTGTGCAGCCGTGCTGGGTATGGGATTCGGTGGAGCACGACGGCGTTATGCGACTTCAGATTGCAGTTAGGTGGACTCGCCCGCATGGCGCCGGGCGCAGCTTGACGCCAGAGCGTGGCCGGGCGTCAGTCGTAGCAGCAAGTGAGCCATTTTAGTGCGTGACGCCGTCGCCGTTGATGGCGCCTCTGGGTGAGAGGAGTACCATGTCGCACTGTGCTCCTAGAGACATGAATTCTAGGCTCTCGAACAGCACGATCGTCCCGAGACGCAACGATCGACGCGAGGATCCGCCATCCGAATCGGTGGGATGACTAAGCCGACACGCAGAAGGCCCTACCGGGCGCGCTAACCGGCCGGCGTTTGAACCGGGTCCTTAACCGACTAGTGAATTTATGTGCGTGCTCCCAATTCCGGATGGTGATGCAAAGAGACATTAAGGTTTATACCGCTTGAGCAATGGATGCCCTACGCCCGGTCGGAGAAGATGTTCTTGTATTCCTGCACCGGGTGCTCATAATAGGGGGTTACAAGCCGTGCGAGAGGAGGAGTTCGGTCCCAGCTGTGTCTCGTGAGGGGAGGTGATATGAATTACGAGAATGAGGCGTGTTGTTCAGGCGCAGTATTCGTGACTCTATATGCCGCCTTAGAAACGGTCCCGCCGCTTCCTTTTATAAGCCGCAGGGAGGAACCAGGGAGTACATAGAGAGCTACGTGCGAGCGGACTATTCGATGGCGTATTTACTCCCAGACCAAAGATGGCGTTGTCGTGGGAGTTCCCGTAGATGTCTAATCGGTATGGTCTCCATCGCAAGTAACATGTCGCGCATTTGTTGGCTTGGTGGATTGCGTAATCTCGGCGGCCATCATAGCCCCGGTCGTGCCGAGGCCTATTGTGCCGGAGGCCTTCGCCGCGTCTTAGAGGCTGAGAAGTGACCCAGTGCGAGATCACGCGGTCTCGCTTACCATCAGCGGAATAAAGGCGAGACGTCGCCTGCTGTGGATACTGAGTACCATGTGTTGTCGAGGGGATGGTAAAAGGTGATCCGACCGTTGTCCTGTCGCTCCTGCGGCTGCGCCAATTGCCGATCGTGGCTTACGTGGCGGTGTAACCAGAGCGCGATAATCGGATGCGACGGCTTTGCCGAGAGACCTTTAGGCGGAGGCGGCGAGTTGCGGACGAGCCCGCCTCGGGCGAGGCGAAGCGCGCGCCAATTGTCCGAGAAAGCCCTACCGGGGTCTCATGCAGGCGAACGGGCGAGGCGGAGAAAGATCGCGAACAAAGGCCCCGTCGAGGGGGGCTCGGCGAGAACGAGCGGTCGGTCCGGCTGATTCCGAGGCTACAGAACCCGTTCGACTCCCCCACGCTATGGATGTCTTTGGTGCGTGAGTTAAGACAGAGACTGGTCGGTAACCTTACCGCCTGCTGTCGCAGATGGCGGAGGTTGACAGCGATCGGGCGTGTAGTCGGTCACTTCACTGCACTCGCATGCCATCGCGTCTGCCGGAGTGGTTAGGCGAAGCTGGATGCGACGTTGGGTCGAGTGCAGTTGGTTCGAACAGCGGTCATGGGGCTGGTCCGAGTCGGCCTCGCATGAATCGGAGAATCGCCACTTCTTCCGGGCCCCGGCGAGGAGGGGCTCGACGAGGGGCCTCATTGAGGCGGTCTCAAGTAGTCGAGAATCGTTTGTCTTCCGCTGGGTTGCTCGGCGGCGGGTCTCGGCTAATCGGAGATTTCGGCCGAGACCTCGCTTGTTTATCCGTTGGTTCTGCTTTTAGGGTCTAAGCGGTTTTTTCGATCTTTGCTTGTATCCCATTTTCGGTATCCGACAATTAGATTACTACTACATCAACTTTAATTATCTTCTTAGAGTGCACTCCATTTAAATAAACATTATTTCTATATTTAAATCGAAGAGTATCTTCTTCATGTACAGAATTGTTTATGATGTTAGAGTTTAATTATAAGCAAAATTTCATGTGTCTTATCTGGGTTTGTATGATTTTTGTTTATTTTTAAAACTCTTTTTTTTTTTTAGCTTTTGTGCTATTATGTCCAAGTTAATCCATAGCATAGAGGGACAATATATTAATCATGAGTCCATGACACAAAATAATATTATATTTTTGGCGTGACATGCATGCATAATTGTGGATTGCTTGATTTACGATATCAATTGGTATGTGCACCGCCGTAGCAATTTTTATCGTTATTATCACTCTACTATAAAATAAAAAGGAGATAAAAGTCAAACTGTTTTGTACCACTTGGGCTACCCGAACTAATATAGAGATGCAACTTGGTATGGAACAGTTTTTGGGTTCTGATTTTGACCGAGGCAATTTGGATTACATAATTTTGACCGAGGCAATTGGATTTTGCAATGATGAACTACATTTTGATTTGCAATTGCTAACTATTATTCCTGAGCCCAGACCCTTGCCTTTGGTGTCTTCTATATTTGAATCGCTATGTTTGAACTTCGAGTTGGACAAACCATTTGAGCGAAGAGAGCAAAAATAGAGAAAAATAGAAAGTAGGGCTCTGATTTTTGGGGTTAACTTCACAAAATAAGTCACCCCAAAATTAGAAGCTCCAAAATCGATTTTAGGGTGTTGCAGGAGTTGCTAGTAACAAATCTTCCCATGGAGCACGAAAGGGCGTCCTGGAAGCCCTTATGATGTTAATTTATCACGAATTCCAGTAATGAGCATTGATCAGGCTTCAGGAGCCGCTACAGTTAGGAGTCCAAATGATGGATGGCTATTTCCAAACCAGTTCCATACTCAGCGAGAAATATATTGATGCGATTAATGTTGTTCCTCTACTACTTGGCCTAGCTGCCTTTGAATTTACATGAAGGCTACTCGCGTACCTTCAATTCAACAAGAATAGTCGCAGTGATTCATTGACGTCCTCCATGCAGCAGCAGTACACCATCAACGAGGTTCCAAGTCAGAGACAGACCTTCGTCGATCGACGGCTCCGGAGCAGCTGCCCTCGGCCCTTCGGCTGGGCTCACAAAGGCCGGCACCGTGGGAATGGGCAGCGTGATGGAGCGGCTGTTGAGCATGATGACGACGGACGCCATGCTTGGCCGGAGGCGTGGGTCCTCCTGCACGCAGAGCAGCCTGACGTGGATGCACCTCAACATCTCCTGCGGGCCCAGCCCATCGGCTGGGCAGCCCTCGAGCAACTGCGACACGTTCTGATGGCTCCATTGGCCCCAAACCTGCTCGTGCCACACGCGATCGGAATTGAGTATAATTCAGTAATATGCTTCCTCGATGTAGTCTCTACGCGCGAGACACGTTTAGAAAAGATCTAATCCATTTAATAAATCAGAAACATTAGACCACCCATTTATTAGAGTCCAACCATCATTGACAGCGGAGTCATTCGATCTTTTCTATTTCTTCATAATTAAACAAATTTATTATTGTGAAAGATAATCAAAATGAACGACAACGGAGTCATCGGATCTTTTCTATTTCTTCGTAGTTACCCAAATTTATTATTATGAAAGATAATCAAAGTGTCCATTTTAGTTCATAGATTTTGAAATTCAAAATTTAGAATTTTAAAACCTCAGATGTGGGCTGTTGATAGAATTGCCTTTTATAGAATTACACCTTAGTCATTATGAAATATAAGTTAAAATATCCCACCAAATTATTTTTAGATATATATGCCTACATATATTTTAATTGCCCGCTGATGTGACTAATAGGTAAAAAGTTATCTCAAAACAAACATACATATTGTATGCCACATGGAGATCATGAATACAATCATGCATGAGTGATAGATACATATTTTTATTGTTTAGCAATTACGAAAATTTCTTCTCTTAAGGAAGCACACTTTGACAATTAATTTAAATTATTAATATCTCATGAGAATAAAATAAATTATTTATTTGTTATTTTGATAGATTATATTTTGACTAAAAAAATAATAATATATCTACTTTGATAGTGAAAGTGCATTTAGCCCTTTATTGGGTTTTGGATGATTGAATGATAACGTGATTAAAGGTTCAACCCGCTTTGCTAAGTGTGGATGAGATAATAGGTTATCTCACGGTGTAATTAATGAAAGCCAAAATGATGTATTGTTGAAAACAATCTAGTTCAAACACAAGACAACAATGCAAATGTAATTCATGCAATGCTTGTTTATTGTGGGATTTCATGACTCATATGAAAGCAAGCACGGTGAATAATAACTAATGAGACGTGAGGGATTGCATATGGATTGGTCTCACCTTTTAAAGCTTGCTAAGTTAAAGACATGTATATAAATGAGTTTAATGAATGATTCGACACCAGGTGTAGCTAGATGGCTTGAGATGGTGAAGATAGCAAGGAAAGGCTTCTTGAGGTACTAAGCAAGGGTGAAGGGCAAGCGATGGCTTGGTGATCAAGGAACCTAGCTAAGGTAAAGAAGAAAGTACTTGCATTTAGTCAAGGCAATCGATCAAACCATATTGGTCATATTGAAGTGGAGAATCAAATCCTATATAACTTTTATAAATGGATGACTTGATAACTTTGAAGCCAATTCACATTTATTGAATAGAATCAAGTCAAATGGTCAAGATGGCTATGCTCAAGGATAAAATCAAAGTCGACATGTTGACACCCTCTCTTTGATGAAGATTGAAAGCTATGGCATTTCGGTTCAAGAAAATTCAACTCAAGCGCTTCAAATTCCTTTTTCGCTTAAACTTGAGTTATAGGTATGCCGCATTATTATTAAGAGAGATGCATCATGTTGATGGATAATCATTCATAAGTGCTCAAACCAACCTATGTGAGTTTTGAGTGTTTGAGAGACATAAGATCTAACTTGGTGTTCTTTGATCCGCAATACCGGACGTGTCCGGGTATTTTCCCACCATGCAATTTCCCTCAACTTTCTCAAAGTTGGTTCGCTTGGGAGTTCCGACGCTTCACTTGCGCCTTGACTCGACTGTTGTTGATCGCTATAATCGCAGGTGTAATACCTACCGGACGTGTCCGGTATTTGCCCTGTCACAGCAATTTCTTCGTTGTCTCGGCTTGGCTCGTCAGGAGTTCCGACGCCTCACAACGACATTGACAAAGTTACTGTTGGGGCTGTACGGTAGATACCGGACGTGTCCAGTATTGCCCAACAGCTACATAACGGCTAGTTTTTCAAAGGGGCTATAAATACCCCTTAGCCTCCACCTTTGGAGGCGGCTGATTCTGCTGACAACCTCACACATTTTTAGCCTTCAAAACACTCTCCATTTCCCTCTTAGTGAGTGATTGATTCAAACTTGCAAAATCATCTTGTGGGTTGAGTGAGATTCAAAATTGAAAGCAAGCCACCCTTGAGCACTTGTGCATATTTATCGATCTCGTGATTTGCATTTGCTACTCTTGGACTCTTCGGTCTTAGACGGCTAGGCGTCGCTGGAGAGCACCCAAAAGATTGTGGTGTGCCTCGAGAAGTTTGTAACGGTTCGATTCCACCACCGCAAGGGATGTAATCAACTAGTGGAAGGAGGAAAAGGAGTTGAAAAAACTCCGCTAGAGTGGCCTTTCGTGGTCTTCTAGAGTCGACCTTCACTGGTCGCCGCAGAGCCCCCTCAACGGAGAGTAGGACTCGGCGAAGTCCGAATCTCGGTAAAACAAATACCGTGTCTCTATCTCTACATTTGGTATTTGTGATCTTTGTGTGTTATTTGAGCTTATCTCAGGGTTACCAATAGTGGTCTAGACCTTGGTTTGAAAAGAGAGATCAATCGAGCAAGTTGAGAGTCTGGTCGGGCAAACCTGTGAATACCGGACGCGATATGCGTATTAATACTAGACGGTCTCGTATTTGGTCACCACGTTGAATTTGTATACCGCCGCTCTAACTTGTTTGTTGCGGGGTTGTAGCTTCATGAAGCCCGAAGTCCGAGATCTTAGGATTCATGTCCGCATCAAGCAAGATGTTACTCGCTTGAGATCACGGTGGATGATCACGCCTCTCGAATCCTCGTGAAGATAGAGAAGCCTCGGCCAATTCCCTCGATGATCTTGTACCTCTGCCCCAAGCTTAGCTCTTGCTGCCTTATAGGATCTGAAAGTTGAGCTCACTCATCAGTAAACAAAAGGACCGAGTGGCCTGACATGCAAGGATTATGGTCAAGCGAGCACCAAAAAGGATCTTGTCGAGGCTCTTGTTGGCGAGGAACTCGTAGATAAGGAGCTTCTCGTCTTCCTCGACGCAGCAGCCTAGAAGCCGCACCAAGTTCTTGTGCTGGAGCTTTGCAACTAGGACAGCCTCGTTCTTCATCTCCACATGCCCTTGTTTCGAAGTTCTGGAGAGTCTCTTCACTGCAATCACCTGCCCATCTGGTAGGGTACTCTGAAGAACATTGAGAAGAGATCAGACCATCAGACATTTTGTGTTCTTATTATGAGAAAGACCATTTTTAGGCACTAATTTTTGGTCGGGCTCCAGGATTGAAGTTTACTTTGTAGACTGGCCCAAACCCTCCTTCCCCGAGCTTATTTTCCTCTGAAAAATTGTCAGTTGCAGCTCGCAGAGTACTCAGGTCGTATGTGAGAGGTTCTGAACTTCTCATTTCTTCTTCTTCAGCCCCGTGTCCTATTGATAAGAGAAAACGGAAGATCCAAGCCTGAAGGTTGCACCACAATGTTCTCTCCTCGATAGCTAACAACATTTCGATAACTTACTGTCTCTTACTATCTCAGACGCGTTTGTATGGTTTTCTCGTTTTCTTGCGACCATAGGCAAGAACAAACAAAGCAGCAACATGACAAAGAAGAAGAATCGAGACAATAATAAGTGCTGTCCTGACTGTGCTATTACTTCCTGCACCGATGGAGCTTAATCAGAATAGAAGCTCTTTCATCAACCTTCACCTAGAATCACTCATCTTTTGAACCAAACTCTTCGAAACCATCATGCTTGTAACAGCAGATTTGTAAGAAACTAGTTGACAACTATATATGGAAAGCCATAGAACATTATTTGATCTGGATGGAAGGCAAGTCCACCGTGCATTCAAATTACACTTTCCTCATTATTAGACAATACAATGAAACGGATTGTAGATTGACGGGAAATTGTTATACTTTACCAATTAGACATGACTCTTTAAAGCATTTGGAAACAATTTTTGTGGGTTTCTAATACTATTTTCGTGATTTGGTGATAAATGACATCGTAATGACTAACATGCTTTTTGAACAAACCGGGAGTTAGATCGGATGATTTCTTGACCTCTTTTGGGCATATTTACATAGAAGAAAACCCTCCAATCCATACTTATTGAGAGTAAGGATCTGTCTAGATGCCAGAGCTAATTGCTAGCTAGCTAAAAATTATCTAAAACTAGCCCTAGTATATTCAAACATGAATGTTATTTTTTTTGTCAAGCCTTTAACTAGTTGTTAGCTAACTAGTGGAAATATATGATGGGAACCACATCTTTAGTGAAAACATGAAAACCAATTCAAAATGCACTTGTACAACTCAAAAGAATTTGAAACTTGGCATATCCATAGTTCATTGACATATGTGGTCACATGCAAAGTTGAGATGTAAAACCATTTTTGGAAAAAAAAAATCATACGAAAATAACAAATTTCACTTGTATGTGAACTACAAAACAAAATTTTAGAAATTTTGTCTTCTGGTTCACATGCATATGAATTTATGCATAACAGAAATAATGTATTTAGAAAAGTCAAAATATCTTATTGGACAGGAGTGTGACTTCTATTTCTAGGTCTAGGTGCACCCACGCACCAGCAGGGCAGTGCGTGACTGCGTGCGCTCTTGCGGAGTCAATAGGATTACGACTTCTACCATTTGATTGATGGGCTGGCTGGCGAGGGCCCAACGATAGTGACGGGGCCCAGCTGGGCCAGTCCTGGACTTCGCTAGAGCCACACGCATAATTTGGGGTCCACAGTCCACTGGCACGGCCACTGTAGTGGTAGTTCAACTTACCAGTGTTTTGTGGGCCGGGAAGGTCGCTGCCGTTGACTGGCCCACTTCGTGGCGCCGGCGTTGGTGACATGGCCGCCTGGGCGGCCAGGGGTCGTAGAACGGGTAAATCTCGAACCGGAGCTGGCAGATCGGCGAGAAGATCCGGCCGCCCTGCTTCCCGTTACAGCACTTGGGGATCGCATCGACGAGAATGGCGAGGCACAGCATGCAGTTTCCCGCGCTTGTGTCCCGCGTGCACTGGGCCGCTTGCCATAGAGCGTCACGAAGCTTGTTTGCTGGACCTCGCCGGCTGCGAACCTGCGCGGGGACCCGTAGGCGGCCTCCCTGGTG